AAACCCCAAACCCTAAACCCTAAACCCTAAACCCTAAACCGATTCGCGGCTTTCAGAATCAGGTTCGGAGGGTGTCGAGGTAGTTGAGGGTTGGCAGGGCTCCGCAGCCGCACGGCGTGTAGTATGAGTCTCTATATCCCGCTTGGGAATCATTTTTTCATTTTTACTTGTATAAAACCCAAGAGTATACTAGAACTATTGTTTTTCTTAAAAAATTAAGGTTCTAAGGGGAGTATAGGAGTCGAGGAGGGCCTTCCACCTTCAGAATCGTTGCAGCGTGAATCCTCCACCCCCCCGAACTCCACGAGACCTTTGGCGGCAGACGTTTCGGGCACACCTCTGCCCTGAGCCTCGAGCCCTAAACCCTAAAACCCTAAACCCTAGAAACCCTAAACCCTACCCCTATACCCTACAAACCCTAAACCCTATACACCCTAATCCTGAAACAAACAGGGCCATCTTGCACCCCAAGCCCTCGACACGTCTCCCCAAGATCTCCTTGACAGCGCTTCTCAGGTCGGCAACATGGCCTGGGCCAAGGAATGCGTGAAGCCGCTCGGAGACATCGGCGGGAGGGCTTTGGGAGGGCCCAAGTTCGGCTTAAGCAGGGCTTAGGGTTTAGGGTTTATAGGGTTTAGGGTTTAGGGTTTAGGGTTTAGGGTTTAGGGTTTAGGGTTTAGGGTGGGCTTAAGGTAGGGCAGATGGGGCGGGGAGCTCCAAGGTCTGTAGAAAGTCGCGAAAGCACGAGGCTTAGGGACTGAGGGGCTCCCAGCGCACGACAAGAAACGAGCCGTGAACCCTGAGTCCTGCAAAGCAGAACCTAAATCCGAGCATGGGTATGAAACAACCTCCACCCCCCCCCCCCCCCCCCCCCCCCCCCCATAAAAAAAAAAAAAAAGAAAAGAAGAGTTTAAAGCGGATAAACAAGACAAGACAGGCACTTGAACCCCAAAGTAACAACCCTCAGACAAGGCAGCTGTGAGCCCAGGATCCCGAAAACGAGCATTTTAGACCTTTGTGTTCTGCAGCGCAAGCCCGATGTAGGTTGCACGCTTCCCTTCCCCGGGGCCGATGTCGCTTAGGTTTAGGATTGAGAGTTTGCCTTCTTTCGATGCTGAACTCAGACCCCAAACCCCGAAGGACCTCAAAGCTTGGTGCACGTAAACAAGGCCTTGAGCATTGCCCATGGTGGAAGTCGTGTTCAGAACTTGGGTCTTCGTTATTTCACAGAAGAGGGGGGTTATTCTGCTTAGGGCAACGGCAACCGCCGGTGCATTGTGGTTTGTGTACCTTTTCAACCTTGCTGTATGTTGTCAGTACAGTTGAGGCATCGCAACAGGATTGTAGACGTAGCAGCCATCACTTGACAAAGGAAGGGCGTTGACGTGAACGCGCGCCTGGATGCCTACGGCGGCACAGCTCTTTTTTTAGCGCTCAGGCTGCAGATTCCACGACTCGAGGTGTAAATGCTAATGTTTTGTCATGGCAGTCCCTTGATCGGTCGCGCTGAAGCTACTTAGTGCTGCGGGTTTTGAGGGCTTTTTCGTCCGCGGTACCGTTCAGGGCTTAAAGAACCACCTTGAAGCAGACCACGAGACCCAGCAGAAACATGCAATATGGGCAATCGGGTCTAGTTGCAAGCCGCTGCAGCCTCGAAATGCTCACAACGAAATCCTGTGGGCCCAGAGGCACGAAGTCGCTCAGCGTCACCACTCCCAGGCCCTTGCCCCTTCGAAAGCATGCGAAAGTCCCAAGGCAATCGAGCAGGGCAGCTGGGACATGATGAAATGGCGCCTCGCACTGAACAGATGAAGGTTTGGATCCTACTGGTAGACTGTTTCTTTGCAGGGCCATGGCTTAATGGCGTGGACGTCCCAACCCAAACAGCAGCCCAAAAGCAAGAACATGGCCAGCCGCAAGCTTCACCACGCCCAAGCAAGCCATCTTTCCTGCTCCAATTGCGGTACCGACCACCGTCACACCCTCAAGCTTTGAAGAGGTCCAAGGTCTAGAGGTTCAGATGATACCTGAACAGCCCGGCAGCAAAAAAGATGATACCTGACTAAAGTTGGCGATCCCAAGGCCCATAACCCATCATGTGCACGATGTGTCCAATCAGAGTCCAGCATGGGCCGAGTTGACCCCTAAACCCTAAACCTGGTGGCAAAATTAAACCCTAAACCTTAAACCCTAAACCCTAAACCCTAAACCCTCTCCATATGCCTTGAGCCCCAAGCTTGGGAAGGCTTGTCGAGGAGGCAAAGGTCGACCTCGAGATTCTCGACTACGGAGGCTTTTTTTTTTTATTTATTCTCAGGGGGGTTGTTTAAGCACGGTAAAAAGCTTGGTGGGCCTTTCATTGGGGTGCAGTCGTTGGGTTGCTCATGGGATAATCAGATAGTTTGCTTGGGCTTGGCGGTTTTGGGATTGCATCTCTTGAAGAAGGCTTGCTGAAGCCGCGACATCGAGTTCCAGAAGCAAGCGCCGAAAGCTTACGACCTTAAAGCCCGAACGCCCTGAAGCCCAACAAAAGAGCCCGAACCGGCGCTGTCCAGGTAGCCAGGGGTCGGAAGCATAATGAAACATTGGCTCGGCTTTTCGCAGGCTACAACGCGCTCGACTACGCGGCAGCATGCCATTGGCACCACCCCGATCGGCCGCCGATGCTGCCTGGGGGTTCCCCGGCCGTGATGTCATGGGTTTAGGGTTCAGGGTTTGGGGTTTAGAAGGGCGAAGGGTCAAGTTTCAATCGCTCTCGTACTTCAGAGTCACTGCTGGAAAGAGTTCTGGAATGAGTTGCAGAGCTGTCTTCACATTTCGCCCAAAGTTGCTTCAGGAAGCGCCTAGTATGAAGAAATGGGTCGGTTCCCAGTAAGGTCAAATATTCGTTTTCTTTGACCGCAAGGTACATGCTTTACGATGCTTCAAATTTCTCAACACATCAGTAACCCTCCGCAAGGGATATGGGAGCCCACTGTTCAAATAGCTCGGGCCCATCGGCTCTCGCCGCTGCGGGGCCGCGACCCTCGCTTCCGAAGCCAAGGAAAGCCGGCACCCACGGACATCGCCAGCTACCTGAAAAGCCAAGGCACGCCTCTCCTCCTTTTTTGCCAGGTCCAAGTTGAAGAAGTTCTTCTTCCGCTAGCTTCCTGTTTGGGATGGAGGGCTTAGGGCACAGACAGCTTATCTATAGTTTCCATGGCTGCACAGGTTTGGACGTCATGGTTGGTCTTACTCGCAACTTCCCTAGTGTCCGGCGCATGTTCCTTGCAGCGCCCGTCGTTTCACACCTTTTTCGCCGTTTCCCGGCTGATTTCCTCTTCTCACCTCAGAATGGGTTCCAGACCCGAAGCGAGGTAACACCTGCTCAGGGCCTATCGAAGGGTCTAGGGTTTAGGGTCTAGGGCTTAGGGAAAGTCAAGGGGATGAGGGTTCGGAAGCAAGGGGCTTGAGCGCGCTTAATTCTTCTGGCTTGTCGACCCAGGCATGCAGTACACCTGGTTTGGTGCGGCTCTTGCCGAGGACCCGGGCTGAGTCTTCTAAAGTTGGATTGTTGACAGATCAAGGGGCCACCCCCTTGAAAGACATGCAGGATGATCGGGCAGTATAGGCTCCGGGTGAAGTTGAAGGTAATGTAGAAATCCAACTTTGCTGTCCGTGGTCCTTGATTTTCCTGGTTGAAAGGTGTCCCCCCCCCCCCCCCCCCCCCCGCGCCGCCACATCCCAGTTTCCCAGTTTGCCAGCCTCGGAAGGACATTGATAGGCTGTGGGAGTTCCTCGAGAATGGCCAAGATGTCAACGAGCGAGGAGGGCATTTCAACAAGAGCCTTGCCTTTGGAAGAAGGGAAGAGCCCGCAACCAATGTTCGAAATCGTTTGAATGCGTTCCCCTGCAGTACAGGTTGATGCCAAGTATTGCATGTTGGGTTGCGAGTCCCGGAATGCCAGCTAGGCACTTAACAGGTCCTTCCATTCCTGAGCCCTCAGATGCGAAACGAGAAGGTCGGGGCTCAGTTTGCATCCCAGAGGCCGGATGCAGCAAGAAACAAGCAAGGCCTAGCAAGGGATGTTTCGGGAAAGGGGCCCAAAAAAAAATCCAGAGCCCTATAGAAACCCTGTAAACCCCAACAAACCCTAAACAAACCCAAACAAGGCAACTGGGGTCCCTGCCTCCTGGGAGCTCAGGAGCGCTTTAGAAGAAGCTGCGGACAACGGCGGCTCCCGGGAGTGGACGAATTGGTGTTGAGGGGGTTTAGGGTTTAGAGGTTCGGGGTTTAGGGGTTCAGGGGTTTAGGGGTTCGGGTTCAGGGTTTAGGGTTTAGAGATTCGGGGTTTAGGGTTTGTAGGGTTCAGCTAGATTGTCCGAGACTGGGTTCAATATGGGGCTCAGGGATTCGGGGTTTAGGGGAGAAGGGTCGAGGGTTTCGGGGAAAAGGGGATCCAGGGTTGGGGGAGGGGGCTTTAAGGTTCCTAAAATGATGGGTGCCTACTTTTGGGGTTTCTCTGGCAAGGAGTTACGTGCCCCATTTTAGTTGACACCCCGGGTTTTGGTGGTTTCAGGCTGGGTTTTGGGAGGATTAGGAGGATTTCCTGCTGGAAGGAATGGGTTCGTGGAATGTAATCATGAGAATGTCGCCTAAATCCTAAACCCTAAACCGGTGGCTCCACTTTTCTCCGAACAGACCACCAAATCACCCTGCCTGCGGTTCGGCCAGCTATGCGGGAGCGAAAAAAAACCTAAACCCTGAAACCTGAACCCTGAACCCTGAACCCTGAACCCTGAACCCTGAACCCTAAACCCTAAACCCTAAGTCAAGTTCGGTGAAGCTGAGTCAGCTCTGAGCTCGCTGCTGAAGAGGGCATTAGGGGTTCGGACGGCCATCCAGGTTCGCCCAGGTTAGGCCATCACCGACCCAGAGAGCCCAATACCCCTGCATATACCTTAAATCGTATTAAGGACCCTTTGTGATTTAAGGTATATTCCTTATTTAAGAGGTATTGGGCTCTTTGGGTAAAAGCTTGAAACCCGAGCTAAAGACCTTGGGGTTTATGAAGCCTCGCTCTCCAATACCTTGCAACTTTGCAGCTCTCGGAACTTTGCTTCCCCATGTCGGGCACGTGCATGCCTTGCCCCCCGAAGCCGCAGAAGTCCCTAAGCCCTGAACCCTGAAGACAAAACAACGAAGGCGTCTCTCTCGGGTTCACTATTGGCAAGAAAATTTTGGGGTCTGATGGCTGTGCCTCAGTGATTTTGCGTCGGAGGGGGGGGGGTCGGCAGGAATGAGCGGACCTAGATGTTGGCAATGTGCGGGGATTTTGTCTTGCTTGCTGACTTTCTTGGGCAGAGAGAGGGGGGACATGCCCACAAGCACGCGCAAAGTTCTTCAGTCCTGAGCCTTTCGAAACCCCACACGGCCCTAAGCCCTAAGGCTACTGGACGGCCAAGTTCTTGATGGTGAAGGGCGGGCAGGCCTTTGAGTTTGTGACGTGCGTGGAAGCTCGAAGGAGGGTGTATTTGCATTTGGGATTCTAAGGTCGCAGCTCAGTATTTTGGGAACAGTCAGTCTTCAGGGGCCTCAAGTCGGGCAGCCCTCAGTGATCCCCCCCCCTGCTCGTCGGATAGCATGCCCATTCAGGCCACACAGGTTTGCTACCGCAACTCGAAACTGGTACCAGCATCGCGGGTCGCATGTCCTTTGGCTGCTCGTAATGAGACGCATCCCACGTCGAGGGCTTAGGCACCACAAGCCTTGAAGTAAAACGCCCAGAGGGAAAGGCCTGCTTGAAGCTTCATGGGCAGCTATAAGTGGGGTTATGTAAGCAGGGTAGCTATAGTTAACTGGCTAGATCCGTCTTTAGGGTACTTATCACCCTGGCCAAACCGAGCCCCCGCCTTGCCGCAGACCAGCGTGACCCCAAACTGGATCTACTCCATGTCGCCGGAGAGCCACATGGCCAAATGGTACCTTTTTCCTTTGTTCTGCTCAAGGTTCCCTCATAAAGTATCCGACCCCAACAAAAAAAGGGTGCCCTTATTTATAGTAATTGACTGGGTGACCAAGGCCACTGCACAGCCAACATCCAGGGCAAGCTCGCCAAGTGAGTGGGTCTGGGGTTGCCGCCCTGGGCCCCCACGTTGGAAGATGTACGAGCTTTCGAGCTCTCGTAGAACTACCTTGGGTGAGCTGTTAGAGATGTTGAGGGCTTAGGGTGTAGAGATGTTGAGGGCTTAGGGTGAAGAGTGGTTGGGCTTTTTGCAGTTCGGGCGGGCTTCGGGCTTGGGAGTCGATTCTTCCAAGACGCCGCCGAATACTCAGAGAGCCGTGGTCGACCTCTTCGGGCACATGAGACGCCTCTGTAAGCTGCCTAAACCCTAAACCCTAAACCCTAAACCCTAAACCCTACACCCTACACCCTAAACCCTAAACCCTACAACCCTAAAACCCTAAAACCCTAAAACCCAAAACTCTACACCCACCTTATCCCCGAAGCGCTCAAGTCTCATCCTCGCAGCTCAGGCCCGTTACAGAGCCCCCCCCCCCCCCCCCCCAAGATCTGCAACTTGTGAACTCAACGCTAAATAGCCCCAAAGTCACCAGACGCTGACAGGAAGATTCTTTGAAGGCGTGAGTCAGCCGAAGCCCACAGGAAGCTTTTTAGGGATGAGGCTCAGTTTCCTGGGGCGGTCGAAGCCACGAGCTGCCATGCGTCAGTGCTCTATCCGCAAGCTCGCCCGAGGCAGCACTTAGCCATTAAGAGAGAGCGGGCTGCAAGGCGGCAGGATGCAGGATTTTGGGCTTACCAAGCTTGTTCATACGGTTTCGAACCCGCAGTTGAAGCCTTAGATGAGATACTGTTAGGATGTAGTAGGTGTCTTTGGGGTGTAGGGTAGAGGGATGCGCTTCCTAAACTCTTACATAGACCGGACACCCCCCAACACTCTTCTGAAAAATGGGCGGAAGTGCTGCTCTCGGCGCGCAGTATGAGCCACCACACTAGGCATTGGAATCGTGTCGCTTTCACTTTGGAATCGTGACACTTTAGCTTTATACGTTCGACAAAGTCTTGGGTACGCATCTCCGAAGGGCCGCCATCACAGAGCTTTCCCCTAAACCCTAAACCCTAAACCCTAAACCCTAAACCCTAAACCCCCCTCCCCCCGCAAGTTCCCCTCCAGTGAGTCTTCCGGCATTCTCGTTGCGAAAGGCTTGTGAAGTTGCTATGGTGCCAGAGCGACTGGAAAAGTGGCGCGTTGTTCGAAGAAGGGCGGAGGTTTCTCGAACAAGTGCTAGGTAGGCCCTTGGGGCATTTATATTTTTTCCCTTATTGGGTTTAAGACGATCATATTCAGGAATCTTTTTCAGAGGTTTTAAGGGCCATCCTAGAGAGAAATTGCAGGTTGAGGGCTTTGGTGCTCTTCCCCCCCGAGCATCCTAAACCCGCCCGAAGACCTCCCGCCTCCTCTCCCCCCTAAGCAGGTGGCATGGGCAAAGCCCAAGCCCCCAAACCCTAAACCCTAAAGCCTTCCAGAAAGCCTGCTGCAGAATCTGGTTGGCCTGGCTCCGCTGCGGGGCTGGAGGCGATCGCCTTGCGGCTGGGGCTGCACTTGGGTAGCTATCATTGGGGTTTGGTTGTGGTTTAGGGTTTAGGGTTTCGGGTTTAGGGTTTAGGATTCTGGGCCCAGGGTTGTTGTTATTGTTGTTATCATTCTTACGATTACTCTCATTGCTATTCCTAATTCTTCTTGTCGTTGTTTCCACGATTTTTGCAACTTGTTCTATTGCCATCGCAATAATTGGAGTTCATGGTGCCATCCGTTATTGCTGGCATCACTGGTTAGACGCGTCTAGCTCGCACTCCCCCCCCCCCCCCCCCCCGCCCTTCCCACACAGGGACCCAGTCCCCCTCCTCCCCGCCACATGCTACGTGTGCAAGTGGCTCCGGGCTCTTTTCGCAAAGCCCAAGCTCCGTCTGCTGCTTCCTCCAAATCGAGGGTTTTAGGATTCTTTAGGGCTTTCAAGGGTCGAACGTCCAAGCCTCAAACCCGTACGGGCGCGCAGCTCCTGAAACTGACAAGGTCTAGGGCTTAAGGTTTATAAGGTTTACGGTTTAAGGCGTGGAGGGTTCAAGGTATTTCGGGTTTAAGGTTTACGGGACTCAAGGCTTCAGGGCTCAAGGTTTCAGGGAATTCCCTCTTATCGGCTACATGCTTCGCCCCATCGAAAGAATGCTGAGCCCCAGGAGCACTTTGCGCCCTCCGTGGCCGTGTTCTGGCAGAGGCCGCACGCTTGAGCACCCCACAAGTTCAGGAAACATACCTGACAGATCAGAATAAGCACCTAAACCCAAAACCCGAATCCTTTGAGGTGTGTTCCTCAAAAGAAGGGCCTAAGCCTACACCCGAATCAGTTAGAGGTGTAGGCAGTGTATTCCTCAAAACAGAAGGGGGGGGGGCAGTGGCTCCCCGTCCTCAGAGCCTCCGAGATCCGAACATCCCATGGCTCCCCAAAGGCCGACTTATTGTTCATGTTGGATAGGCTCTACTTGGCCCTAAACCCTAAACCCTAAACCCTAAACCCCAAAAACGGCTGCAGCCGGCCGCCCTCAGGTTCGCTGCAGGGAGCCCTGGCGAAGAAGCCGATTCCCTGCTGAGCGCGCCGAGGGCTTGGGTGGGCTCGGGCTGTGGCTCTACCTCAGTTTGCTTAAGAACCACCCCAAACGAAAGGACCTATTCTTATAAGGGCAATATCGGGAATTTTTATTTATGTGTTTTGGGGGGGTTCTTAAGCAAATAGTAGTTTAAGAGTTGCAAAGGCTCCTGAAGTTCAGCGTTTAAGTAAGGGCTCTCTGCGAGGTGGGGGTTAGAAGGAGGGCGAGACTCTGCGTGCGTGTAGGTCCGATTGATTAAGACGGTGCATAGGGTCAGTTACTTTTTGGGGGTACCCGAAATGCAAGGCGCCATACAACAGGAATTAAAAACACAAAGGCGATCATACAGGATTCCTCAGCCCACGCGTGAAGGTTCATGGGCAGGTACAATCAGGGCCATATGTGCCTTAAGTAAATACCATTCATGCTGACCGTTCGGGGGCCCACATCTATGCATCGCGCGCACATGGATAAAAGTACACATCAGCAAAGATACGTGTATATACATACGCCCACGCCCGGAAACCTGTTTGTTTCTATTTATATGTTTGTCAAAAATAATAATACCAGGAACCATAGTGCTAACAAAAAGAGTAT